TGATATAATCTCCCAATCTCTAATTTGGAGATTTGGCAAAGTTAAGTTGCTTTGAGAAGCAGTGTCCAGCATTTTAGCTTTCCAGACAGTGAGACAGATAATACTGACACCAGCAAAGGTCAGTGGAATCTTATGAAATGGGAAAGATTACAAAGCATACTGGCACTTTTAAATATCAGTTGGTTGATTTTTCACTGTAAATAGATAAAGTTACCTACATATCCACCACCATAACCACTTTGTTTTATGGCTTCATATATCCACTCACACATCTTTATTTAATTTTATTTGTAATTTTGCTTTTAGTTTTTTCTGACAAAGTTTTGTCACTTTTGCCTGTCTTAACAGACAAAAAAAACTTTATGGATTAGGGACTGTGAATTATAGCTGGAGGGCCAATCTGAGTCTTAATGACACAGGGTCACAATACTGAAATATTGTGTACACTGATTCAGCAATAGCAGGATGAAACTGCTGCAACACTGTGTTTTGCACAACTGACTATTTGCCCTCCGGAATTAAGAAAAATTAGCATGTACCTGCTTGACTATGTTTTAGCCCAGAATTTTTTATCTTATCCATGTCAGTTTTGTTTTGGTTTTGCTAGAAACCATCATAAGAACTTTTTAAACTTGCAAATCTATCCATATTTAATCACCACAACCATAGTGTAGCTTCTGTATAACGATGGAACCTTTTACTATACCTGAGCTGCTCATCCTCCAGGTGCTGGCAGCTTCTGCAGGGAAAAGATTGTGGACAATTATAAGGGTGTCTAATTTAAAAGTCTAGTGACTGGTATCTAAAGCAAAGGAACTGGAATCCTGATTAGTGTATTTGTGGCCTGACTCCTGGACCTCTTGGCTGCAAGGTCCCTTCTAAGGGGAGTGCAGAGACCCTGAATGTAATCTACATTCTTCAAGTAGGAAGGCAGCTGGCTCTATGACTAGGTAGTCTGGTTCTGAATCTGAGGTAATGGGACCCTACTTGGGTAGGTCAACAGGAGGGGTCAGGGTGTGAATGAATTGTGCGAAGGAGGATTAAGGCTTCTAAGAGCTGTTTTGGCACATAGCCACTGGCTAGACTCCAGACAGTGCAGTGTGGCTGACAGGAGGACTGTTTTCACCAGCGTCCTGAGCCAGTCAGATGAAAAAGTAATCATGTTTTTGCTTCTGCATTGACACAGATCACATAATGAAGCAGGCCTTTGCCATGAATGGGAGGTAGCTTCTGCTCTGGGACCTATAGGGAATGAACCTTTTGGTTTAGTGTTCTATAACTAGTGTAACCCACTTTTTGTTGTTGTTGTTCTTTAATATGTGTATTTTTACATTGTCGTTTATTTTAGTACTTCTGATTTCTCCCCTCAGGTGTTCACATAAAATTACCACTACCAAGACACCCATGGTCCATCACCATAGACTCTTGTGCTCTTCCTCCTGTTTTGATCCCGGTCCCTCTCCCTCTCCTGCTGAATTTAGTTTGCCTGCTAGTTTTGTTACTTTTTTCCTCCCTGACTCCTCGTATGGCCTCCTATAAGTAAAACCATCCGATATTTTCCTTTTTTCTTCTGACTTATTTCACTGAGAACAATCCCTTCCAGTTCCATCCATGTTGCTGTGAACGATATCAGTTTTCTCTCTCGAATGCTGAGCATAAGTACTCCACTATGTTACTTACCACAGCCTTTAGATCCTGTTGCCTGTTTGGGGGCATTTAGGTTGTTTCCTTATTTTATCTATTGTGAATAATGCTGCAGTGAACACAGGATTGCAGGCTTCTTTTTGAGTTGATGTTTTTGTGTCCTTTACGTAGGTTCCCAGGAATGGAATTGCTGGGTCATATGGTGATCCATTTTTGCTAGTTTGAGGGTCTTCCACACAGCTTTCCATAGTTGTTGAACCAGTTGCATTCCCACCAGCAGTGTAATTGGAGGTGTAACTGAATTTTAACAGGTGTTCATTTTGCTGCAGACTGACTAGCTAACAATGAAATTACCAAGTTTTCCATGGGTCTTTCCTTTTCTCTTCTTCCTTAGTCAACTCTTGCTTGAATTTCCCCCACAATGATTCTTTATACAAGCCCCTTGTTAAAACAACACTGCTCTTGTATACACTTGATATACCCAAGGCAGAGATGAGCCAGCCACCTTCCTACTAGGGGGACATGTATTTCACTCAGGGTCTCTGTCTCCCCCTTGGAAGGGACCTTGCAACAACCAAGAGGGCTAGGAGTCAGGCTACAAGCCCACTAATTAGAATCCCAGGGCATTTTTAAATAAGCATTTTAGGTAGGTAACTTCTCTCTGACTGAAGGGCAAGTGTACTGACCTGGGGCTGCGTCATCTGGCATTGATAGGGACTTTCCTTCTCATGAAATAATTTCAAGTCATAGTCCTTCAGGATCTTTACTGTTTGGGAAGCATAAATGACCACTTGTTCTCTACTTCCTTGAGCCTGCGCCCTGGGAATTTAGGGAAGTACACTTCAAATTTCACATATGACATGGGCCAGGTGTTGTGAGAATTGTCTCGGCTCTGATTTGTTTGCAGGGGTGAAATTTCTCTGGAAGTATCTCTTCTGGAAATCTGACTTAAGACCCAGCTGCTAGCCCACTGAAATACGTGCCAGGGTATTGGTGTACACACCTGCTGTGCCCTGGGGTGCTGGTCAACCTGGTCTCTGTTCCTGCTGTTGGCAATTAGAAGCAACTGTGGATCAGTCCTCTAGACACACGTAGCTTTGGGTGATCTCCAGTGACCATTCCACTGCCCACTCTACTCATTTGTTCCCTTGGGGATGAAGATGACATTGCAAGGATTAACTAAACAGATATAGGCCAAAGGCTCAGTACAGATCACTAGCCCAGGAAGGGTAGGTACCCCCTTCGTGACTCTTCCCAGTGTGTGTGATGACTCGCAGAAGCTCTGCTAAGTATGGTCAGCATATTTGTGGGAGGTTTGTAAAGTACAGGCCCTGTACTGCCTGCACTGCCCCTACATTCCTTGGCATCTTGCTGCCCAAGTGCTGTGTCACTTAGGAAGGGGTAAGTGAGTGGAGGTGAAAGAGTTCAGTCAAGGTAGCCGGGATTCATGAACCCTCTGGGAGACTAGCACATCAGATGGACCCACAAACATGAAGTGTAGCTGGTCAGTCTGCTAGATTTACTCAGCTTCTCATAATGGACAGAATCTGGGAATGAATATCCAGAAATCAACTGATTTCTGGGCCCTCTCTGGTGGTACAGCGGGTTAGGACATAGCACTGCAAGTTAGCAGCAGCAGCTGCAGTTTAATCCCCGGCTCTGGAAGTGACCCCCATGGCACAGCAGACTTCTCCTGTCTTGCCTATTCTGCTTCCCACTCTCTCTGGTGAATCCTCTTACTGCTCCTGCACTTCTGGCCTGTGTTCCCATTCTGTACGCATAAATAAATCTTAAAAAAAAAAAAATCACCTGATTTCTGAGCCGTTTTATGTGGTCATGGTGTGTCTCTTTGTTGCCTCCTAATCTCTGGGAAACAAGATAATTTCTTTTGTTGAAATTTGAAAACCTTGCCATACCTGCTAAATTCTGTTTGTCCTTAAAATTTTCTCATAACACATAGATGAGTTAGATAGTAGCAGTTGCTATCTTTGGAAGCAAGAATGCATAATTAGGCTTATTAAACCTAGGAAGAAAGAATTTGCATTTTTCTTTGTATGAAACTAGAGATTGCTAATAATTCACAGTATCTTTAACATCTCAGTTTTTTTTTGTGACTTTCCTAGGCCAAAGAAATTACTAACATTTTTGTTTATTGGTTAGTTAGATAACAAAACAAAAAACCCCTAAACATACATCAGTGTTCAATAAAAATAAAACACTATTGAAAAGAAAAATAGTTTTATCCTTGCATAACCACAGTTACTTCCTAGTAGAATATGTACATCTGTTGGGCACTGCACAACCCCCTTGAACCTTGGAACCAGATTGGATACCTGCCACTGTATTTCACATTCTACTTTGATCTTTTAAAGCTTTGTTTGTTTGTTTGTTTGTTTGTTTGTTTGTTTGTTCATGCATGCATACACAGCTGGGGTACAGGCCATAGGTGCTGGTGTGTGTGTGTGTGTGTGTGAGAGAGAGAGAGAGAGAGAGCGAGCGCACAGAACAGACAGACTGAGAAGTACACTGCTGAGGGAGCAGTGGAGAGACAGGAGAGGTCTGCTGGCCATGTGGGTCATGACCCTGGCCAGGGATCACACTTGTGCTGAAGAAGCAACTGTGATTAGCTTTGCACTTTAACCTACATTGCGCCACCAGGGAGTGCCCTCCACTTTGGTTTTTATGTGGTATTTGCTTTCTCTAACAGCACTGCTGACCAAGAAGCTTTGCATATGACATCACAAGGGTTATAGTGCAACTTGACATTAAAATGATTAAATGCCTTGTGCTGATAGGTTCTGTAGTGCCCCTCTGAGTTACCATGACACACTGGGGCTACTGAATGGTATTCAGTTTGGGAACCATGCTGTAGCAGACTGATAACCTCATTATCATCTTACTCCTCTAAACGAACATTTTGTGTGGGTTATCTGCTGGTAGTAGATCTAGCAGAGCGCCAAGATAGACCCTGTAACTAATTTTAGGTTGGAAAGAATAGGTAAAATTCTTTTACTGTCCCTTGACCTTCATTCATCTAACTTAACACAATGAATCATGTCTCCTACTTCTTAGCCACAGGTCAGTGTGACAACAACGAGTGGCATTTTTGGAATCTTTTAGACGTAAAACTGAGTTGGTTTGCTCTAGTACCATGCTGCACTGTGCAGGTATACTTAAGAATGTAATCCCAGGCAAGAATGGAATTCTATTGTTGCAGTCTTCCGAATGTCCCCACCCCTACTACCTTTAGGACTTGTTAAGGAAAAATAGGTCTAGTGTGGTTACATGGCCTCTGTACTGTGCCCTCCTGCCTGCCCTCTCATCCTCATATGCACTCTCTCTTACTCCAGGTGAGTGCTGTCACTGCTTCAGTCCTGCCTTCTCGCGTGTCTCATGAGCCATGTCCTTCTGCCTCATCTATCACAGGTACACTCTTTCTCCCAGTCCTTTTCTCTGTGGCTTCTTCTAGGGTGCCTGCCTGTCCATGGCTGAGCAACCTGCCCTTCTCCTTCACAGTATTCACCCAGGTATTTGTGATCCAGTCAAAGAATGCGTTGTCTACCTCATAGTCCCCAGACCTGTCACGTAGTGCAGATAGGACACATTGGACGAGCACATGATCAGATAGAGCAGTCACCACATTTCCATTGTGAACGCTTGAAGTACTTTCCTTTCACAGAGCTTTGAAATTGAGCTGAAAGCCCCAGGGTGGCAATTAGCTTGTGGACACTGTAGGGTACTTTCTGTACCTGAATCTTTCATGAGCACATGCTGTGTACTGGGGAGGATCAGAGTGAAGTGAAGATGACCTTGCCCCTGAGTCAACAATGGATAGCCACTAGTCAGAGATCAGGGAAATGTACCAGGGGTGGGGTGGAGGAATCATTGTGGGCACTAGGTTGTTGGGAGTGTTGATGCTAGGGATCTGGGGCAGCATAGGGTAGAGATACCATTGTGGAAAGAATTTATCCAGGAGGGCCCTCCCTGGTGGCACACAACCGGTTAAAGCACAAGCACTACAAAGGTAGCCGCAACTTCAGCACAAGTTCGATCCCTACCAGGGAGGTGGCCCATATGGTACTGCAGACCTCTTCTGTCTCTCTTGCTGCTCCCCTCAGCAGTGTACTTTGTTGATATGCCTGTTCTGCTCCCCGTTCTGTCTCTGGTGAATCCTGTCATTGTTCCTGCACCTTTGGCCTGTACCCCAGTTCTGTATGCATAAATAAATAAATCTTTAAAAAAAAATTTCCAGGGAGGAGATTAGTCATATCTGCTCCTTAGAAAAAGTCAGTATCTGGGATGAGGGTGGAGGTGTAGTACTGTGTTCAGTACTACAGGGAGACTATACCTAAAGGGGGAGAAGCTATATTTCCAAAATATTAACAATGATAAAAAAAAATGGCATTATAATAAAGTTTGCTTGAAAAAAATTTTTTTTGCAAAGATGAGGGAACCAAGATGAAATATTCCTTGTTAAAATACATGTGTATAATGCATATGTTATATATGCATATGTAAATTGTTTTGTATGACCCTCCTGTGTTAAAATATATTAGTCTATACAAGCAAGTTAAATGGATAGAAATATATAAAACTTAAAAAGAGAATAGTTGTGCAGACTTTTGGGTAAAGTTGTTCATGGAGCCTCATTTTCCTTATGAGAGTATGAATGGAGGCTTCTGATGTTTCCTGAGGGTTTTACATGCCCACAATCTCAGGACAGCTGAGCTGAAAGATGCAAGCTAGCTCGTCTTGACTTCTCTGCCTGGGCATCTCCTGGTGATCTTCCTGGCTTAGTCCTTATGATGTCGTAATCCCTCATGAATAGAGGGTCAAGAATGTCACCTGTCGTTCATAGTCCCTTTTTTTTTTTTTTTATTTATGCATACAGAACTGAGATACAGGCCAGAGGTGCAGGGGTGGTGAGAGGGTTCACCAGAGACTGAATGGGGGGCTGAGTAGGCAGATTGATGGAGTACACTGCTGAGGGGAGCAGTGTGTTAGACAGGAGAGGTCTTGCTGTATTTGACTGGGAATTGAACTTGTGCTGAAGCAGCTACGGCTAGCTTCTTAGTGCTGTGCATTGCACCACCAGGGAGGGCCCTCCTCGGAGCCTTTTAAAAGAAATTTGAAGGTGCTTGTGGCTCCCAAATCTCATCTGTTGAATGTATTTGCCTTTACATTACATTATAGCCTCTAAAAATTTCCATATGCAGTTGGCCTTAGTCATTACAAATTTGTGGGTCTTGTGCATAGTTTCTCACTTTGGTGACCCATCAGACTATATTAGACCCTTCAGAAGTTCAACTCACAAGTAGAGACTTTGGTTCAGGGCCAACTGATGCTTCCTAAGGATTGTGTATCAGATGTGGGCTACCAAATAAGTTAAGGTGTGACTTTCCACTTTTGGGTATGTTAATTATTTATCACTCAGTTTTCTTTAAAGTGTGGGGATGAACAGAGTGATCTCAGAATTTTTGAGGGTTTATTTTTTTAAGATTTATTTTTATTTATGTACCCAAGAACTAGGTAGTACAGGCCAGAAGGTCAGGGGGTGAGAGGATTCACCAGAGACAGAATGGGGAGCAAAACAGGCAGATCTATTGAAATTTTATGCAAAGGAGGGCAGTGGGTGAGTTAGGGGAGGTATATGGGTCAGCTCCCTGGTCAGGTATTAAACTCAGGCCACGGTTGCTAACAGTAACTTCATAGGGCTAAGGCTTAAAACCCCTGTGCCACCAGGGAGGCCCCATGATTTAACTATTACAATGTGTCAAATATGGTCTGACTGGGAAGGGTGTTTTGACTTTTGGTGGTGTTTTAAAGCAGAGATAAGGTCAGATTTTCTGTAGAAAATTCTCTGTTTTGCCAACAGAAATTTCAATCCCTCTCTGGGCTTAACTTTTTGTAGGTGAAGAAAAGTGGTTTTTGGTTTTGAGAGAGTTCATTTGGAGAGAGAAAGGATCAGGGCTCAGCCCTGTCCAGGTACTTCAAACACTTCAGATGTTAGTTGCCTTGTTTTCATATTGCTTTAGGAACATTGCTTGGAGATTTCCAGAATATTATAGTTAATGAAAATTTATGGGGCAGCTTTCTCCTGGTCATGTTTGCTGGGTTCCATTGTGACCCTTGGCCTTGTGGCTGATTGACCTCTAATGCCATGAGGCTGAAGCCTCTCCTCCAAGTGGGTCCTCTCCTTAACCTGCTCGCTCTTACACAAATAACCTAGCTGGTGCTTGATTGTGTAATTCTTGAGCTTCTTTATAGAGGAATCCTAGCATTGTAAAACAAAATTTTATCACTCCTGGCCTCCCTTCACGCTGGGGTCATCTTATACTTATCCCTAGTTATTTCTTCGGACATGTTGGTCTCACTGCATGGAAACTGTCTCCCAGACAACTCCAGGTGTCTGTAAATCTCACTGACATACTTCCTTTCTATCTTAGCTGTGACCACCCAGTCAGTGTCCCCTGGCCAGCTGCCACATCCTCCACATCATTTTCCCTCTTTCTTCTCTTATCTCACCAGCCCCAACTCTCAGTTTCTTTAGTTGCCCAATAAATGCCCCCTTCCAGTTACCCATGGAGGAGTTGAGAAGATGTCTAGATTTTCTCTGTGCTGTGAATGTCTTTGTATCCTCTTCCCTCTTTCAGCAATTTCCTGCAAACTCAAAAGTATTGACCCCACTGGTTTCTCTACCTATAGCCTACTACCAATACTGTCTGGCTCCCCTCTGGAGGCAGCCATACCAAGCAGAGGTGTTTTCAACCTTCCTATGTACTGCCTGACCCTTGTCATCCCACAGAAGTTCTGAAGTCAGGCTCCCTGACTGTTAGCCACCTCTGCTTCATCCTGTCCTGTCTTGATCTTTCTTTTTTTAATGAGTTCACTATTTTTATTTATTGTAACTTTAGTTTAAAAGGAAGCTGAGTCAAAGTTACACAAGAATTCAGTAAAAATAAATGCCAGAAGAACAAGTGACATAGTTCAATCCCATTCAGAAAGTACTGTTTGCTGACATCTGTGGGCAGCCTTTTTACACTGGAACCAAGCAGAAACTTTCCTTGTCAAAGCTGCAATGAGAATAAAGAGGGGAACACACATTAAATTATTAAAACAGCATCCACCTAACCAGTTATACTTCCCTATGGCTTCGGGGGACTTAATTCTGTGAGCCCTCCCATGTCCTACCTGAGCCTTTCTCTGTTGCTCTGCAGATAGCTGTGAACCCAACTTCTCTGAGGTTGAGGTTCCACACTCTATCAACTGAACATTAGACCTTAGAGAAAAATTTTCTCAGCAAAGCTCCATGCAGGGTTCATTGCTTCCTCCCTCTGCCCTCTACTTAGATTGTTTACCACACCATCCATGCTTTACTCGGGGTTAGCAGTGATGGTCTCTTGTCCATATTCTTTCAGTGATGTCAGCTGGGCCTCTTGGTTCTCACCTTTCTCTGAGGAAGCTCCTTTTGACTTATGTACTTTAGCCCCAGTTTTGGGGTGTTCCCTCCCCAGCTCTGTTATGTAACCTCTTTCCTGCTTTCTTTGGGTTACATTTATTTTCTGGGATCCAGGGCCACCCTGTCCTTATCTCTCACTGAGCACACCTACGTATGCTTTCTTCCACTAGCAGCATCTCCGTCATCCATCCCCTCTGCTCTGCCATAAATCATGTTATACACACTTCTTTCCAGGATCAGACTTATACCCCTGATAAAGTAAAGGAAGTGTTGTATATGCCTGAAACCTAAAACAGGTCTGCCTAGTTTGCTTTGGTAACTGTTGATGATGTTCCCTGAACTTGTTACATGCTTTTGCAGTGTTTCACCATGCCTATGGCATTGCTTCAGCAAAATATGTCCCTTTGTGGCCTTGAAGTGCTGGAACACAATTTTTTTGGCTTTTGGGGAGAGTCTCCATGGGCTGCTGCCCAGCAGGCCCATCGACCCCAGATTCTAATATCGATCTGGTTTCAGCTCTGAGTGTGATTTCCCATTTTCCGGCAGCATGTGTGCAAGAGGGACCAGGATATGGCTTTGTATGTACTGAGCCCTCCCTAAGTACCTACCTTTCTTGTAGTATTCTTAATGTCATGGGTATTCTCTGGGTAGAGCATATCCATCTTAAAAGGAGCCCTGGGAGCCATCTTTTGCCTCCTTGGGGAATACTCTGAGATGATGCAATATGTAAATTCTTGCCTATGTCTTAGACATCGTTGAACCTCATTAAATTTAGTATCAGATGCAAGACCACCTCTGGACAGCTAGTAGACAGTGTTATAACATACCCCACAGCCCTAGATGTCTCCATGCAGGGTGGTAAATGGTGTCTTCTCCAGTGTTGTTCTCTCCTGTGAGACAAACGATGATTGAATGATTTAGTGTTTCTTCTAAGTGAGTGTCATCACATCTAAGATAGGTGAAAGACGTCCTTAAAATCTGGTGGAAGGGCCCGCCCTGGTGGCACAGCGGGTTAAAGCACAGCACTGAGAATCTAAAGCCACTTCTGCATGAGTTCGATTCCCGCCTGTCCCAGAGGTGACCACATGGCGCAGCAGACCTCTCCTGACCCGCCCACTGCTCCCTTCAGCAGTGTACATCCTCGATCTGCCTGTTCTGTTCCCCACTCTGTCTCTGAAGCCTCTCACCACCCCTGAGCCTCTAGCTTGTACCCCAATTCTATATGCACAAATAAATAAATCTTTTTAAAAAATCTGATGGAAAAGGGTAAGAGCAGTCTACCTAAAGCAAACAGAGATTGAATTCTTGGGCTGAGTTTGTAAGATCAGGGTTTTTTACCCTTGTGACTTTGGGCTCATGAGTCCCCTACCAAGGACAGGCTTTTACTACTTTATAGTTCTACCTGCTGTCAGAGCACCCTGGTAGCAAAACTGTGTCTGGCAGGCTCTGCTATGTCAGACCTCAGGCCAGGTAGGAAAATTGTTTTTAGACCCTACTGATGAGTGACGACGCAGACACCCTGGTGTTTTTATTTTTCTATTTTTAATAGTGCAGTCAGCTATTTTTTTTTTTAATTTTATTTATTCATACAGAATTGGGGTACAAGTCAGAGGTGCAGGGGCGGTGAGAGGATTCACCAGAGAGAGAATGGGGAGCAAAACAGGCAGATCAAATGAAGTACACTGCTGAGGGGAGCGGCAAGTGGGTCAGAAGAGATCTGCTGCACCATGTGAATCACCTTGAGGCGAGGGGTTGAACTTGCTGGGTCCTAACCCGTTGCACCACACATCCTGGTGTTTTTGAAAATTTGGTTATTTGCCCAAGCTGCATTTATACAAACCTTTATACAAACCTTGGTTTAAATTACATTTTGACTAGATTATGAGTAATTCTTCAGCAGCTACAGTTCTTAGCCTGTGTGGGAGCATAACAAGTTCCAGAGTGAGAGCCTGGACAGAGCCAACCAGCTTGCCTGTCTTTTTCCCCGATATGCCTACCAGCATCCTCTAACCATCACATTTGTACTCTTCTAAATCTTTGTCTGGCTTACTCAGCCAGAAATCTTTTCTTATTCCTACTTGATCTCTTGGATTAATTTCCAGAGAAAGCTTGTTATAGAGGCTTCTAGTTCACATAGTCTTTATTAAGCCAAGGATTGAGTTTAAAGTTGATTGGTCCTTTCCTTTCTAGTGGAAGACTTCAGAAACACAATGTACAAAATGCAAACGATCAATACACGTTTGAGCAGATTTTTTTTTATTAATAGTGTATGTCAACTCTTGGCACTGCAAGTAAGAGATGATTTTAGTGTTTTGCAATAAAACTGTGTTCCATGATCTGCTACTGCCCCAGTAGAATAACTGGACAGCTACACAGCACTGTTTTTGGCCCAAATCAGAAGTTATTCAGGTGAAGGAAGTATATAGTACTTGGTGCTCATAAGACACTCAGCAGGGTTTCATGCCCTACTCCTGAGCAGGTTGTAGGAGGTACCCACTTTGTACCTCTATAAGCAGGTTTTGAAAAGTTGGTTACAGAAAACGATAGGTTATAGATTTATGTTTGTCAACAGTGGATTCCTTGTGGGACTTCTTTAATCAACAAATATGTATTATTTAAATACCAAAAAAATATTAGTGAGCATGAGGCTTGGCATTCAGCAGTGAACTTCATAGACTATATTCCAGGCCTGAATGTCCTACTCCCTGCCTGGCTCCCACTAACCAAATGGAATTTTTGATGTGGCTCAATACTTAATGTGCCATAAAAACACAACAGAATTTTAATGTAAACTTACCTGGGACTTGTAGATAGATCATGCGCTCACACAGGCATTATTCCCTCATAATCCTGATACTGTGAAAACCCAGTGTGTTGCTTGTTGTACCACCTTCCCATGGACTCTCACCCCCTGGAGGCTTCTAGTTGGCTTTTACCTCCAGGCTTTGCCCCTCACTCTTGGTATAACTAATATTTCTGTCTGCTGGATAAGGAGAGTTAACACTGGGGTTGTTTTAGTTGGTACATGGCGTGACACCCTATCTCCATCAGGGAAGTTGAGCCTGTGAAGGACACCAGGACATGGGGGTGGTCTGTGCACGCAGGGATATGTCATTCTGAGCAAAATCCATCGGCTGCCTGGTCTCTGACGGTGGCTTTTCTCTTCCTTGTAGAGTGCCCAGTGAAGAATGTGATGGGATCAGTAGCATGTCTGCGGAGAGTGGCCCTGGGACGAGATTGAGAAATCTGCCAGTAATGGGGGATGGACTAGAAACTACCCAAATGTCTACAACGCAGGCCCAGGCCCAACCCCAGCAAACCAACGCAGCCAGCACCAACCCCCCACCCCCAGAGACCTCCAACCCCAACAAGCCCAAGAGGCAGACCAACCAGCTGCAATACCTGCTCAAAGTGGTGCTCAAGACACTATGGAAACATCAGTTTGCGTGGCCTTTCCAGCAGCCTGTGGACGCCGTCAAACTGAACCTCCCTGTGAGTAACTTGGGCAAGGCCAGGCCCCAGTCCTTGGCCTTTTCCTGCAATGTTGTTAGTGAGGACAGTTCATGGGGGAGGTTGGAGTCATTGTAAAAGCACAGACCCTTGAGTAAGCATTCCAGCAGTCCCAATAAGTATAAATGGCTATGTGCTATGTGGCTTCAGAGGGACCTGGTTTCGTAGCTATTTATGTCCCAGGAAATACTGTGTGGGAGAGGTTGAAAGGTGGATGAAGGCTTGCTTGCAGCTTTCCATCCAATTTCATCATTAGCTGAAGTCAGTTGCACTGCACATTCTGGGCCCTTTCTTCTCAGGCATGATGCCTGTCCTTGAAGCAGTGGTGGTTGGTTGAGCTATGTGAGAGGGGAACTGACTTACTATAGTGTTGTTTTGGTACTGGCATCATCACCACCCAGGCAAGGGAAGGAGAAAGTAGAGGTTATCTCTCCCAAGGAGTAAGCATGTGAAAAGGTCACCACTAGAGTGTGGCTGTAGGGTGCCAATGCAGTGTACCTAGTCTCCCTGGGGTGACCTTTTTGCCCTGGCCTGTCATGGCCTCACTTGTTTGTTCTTTTGTATGCTGGTCCTCTTTTGCCTATAGTTTTCCCCTTGCCTGTATCCCTTAGTACATGGTTCTGAAAACTCAGATTGTATCCCTGACTAAAACCTTGGGGAACAAATGAACAAATGCTTTTATTTTTCCCCTTTCTTCAAAGCATCAAGAACAAATTGTCTTTAAATTGCCATCTGCTGTTTGCCAAATCCCACACCTTTTCTCAGTAAGGGAATTGGAATTAGATGACGGTTACCATGATCCAGGCATGGTCTGTCAGTGCTGGAAGTGAATGGTGTAGGAGCCCCTGACAGGTTGCTAGTCTCAGGAAAGAGGAGCTTGACAGATACCCAATGTACCTATCCACTGCATTAGCTTTATATATACTTAGGGGAGAGGAAGGGTCACTTTAGGGCTGGATTGTAAACTGGTTCAGGAAAAGGGTTAAAAGCAGAAGGAGAGCCTTATCAAATTCTGGGCTTCAAGAGTCCACTCTCACCATTGACCAGGACAAGGAATATAGGCAGTCATGCTGTCATGGAGAATGACTGTTGGGAGAATTTGCTGTGCCAGACTCTGGGCTGGTGTAATGGACTGAGCAGATTGCAATTTAGGGTGATGTTCCCAGAACAAAGAATGAGAGAGAAGGAACTAGTGATGGAGAGTTTTCCCCAGTGTTTAGTTATGAGCTTTCTACAGAAGAGAGCCAGGAAAATCGCCAGCAGAGAGCAGTTCCTCCAGGTTTACACATCAGAACCTACAGGGAGGTCACAGAGAAAAGGATTCCGACCTGACCCTCCTGTTGACCTTTAGGAGGGCATTGGTGACCTTAGGAAGATGTGACGCAGAAGTAGAAACCAGATTCTCGCCGGTGTGAATAAGCAGGTGAGGATGTAAAGCCATCATTTCAAGAAATTTGGCTTTGAGGGGAAAGCTTGGCAGAGCCAGATGGAGGAGGGGATGGTTTGTTACAGGAAAACTCAAGGTTCAGAGGCAAGGACTTGGGAGGGTGATAACAGAGAATGAGGGGGCTGTGGGACTTGTGGTCCTGAGAAGGCAACATTCTTTCCAGTGGGGCAGACACGGTGTGATAGTAGTCTGTTAGGTCAGGGTTTGAAGATTTGGAGCCACTTTCTATAAAGTGGAGGAGGAGGACAGAATGTGAATCCTTATTATTGTTGACACTCCTGGCAGTTCTGACTTAGGAAAAAGAAGCTAATGAATGGTGCCACCGGCCCAGTATCTTCAGAGAAGTGGGAATACCAGGAGTTGTCCTCAGTGGGGCAACAGTTTCAGGGCAATTGACATCATACTAAAATCAGTTTTCACGGGACTCTTCTATATCATTGGGTCTGCCCTAGGAAGAATTCCTTCTTTATCTGTTTCCTGATGCCTTCTAGATTTTTACCTCCCTTTTGGCACCTGATTCCTGTCAGGTATTTCACTTAGTATATTTGTATGTTACGGCCCCTAAATCAGTACCCTCCCGACTCCCCTTTCCCCACTCAGTGCAGACTTTTGTCTTAATCCCTTCCATCATTGTCATGTCCTGTCTGCCCTTGTACCATTTAACATACTGTGGCCAGTTGAAACACCAACCATCCTTTTAAGAGACTGTTGGCCACAGAATAATAAAAAGTTTAAGTTTCCATTGGGGCGGATGTATCTGGACTTGGTTTTCTTGATAAGGTGATCAGAGCACAATATAATATAGAAAACCTGGTTTGAGTACCCCCCCCCGACCCCCCACCTCCACGGCTTCCTGGCTAGAGCTTCTAGATACGAGTTTATAATCCTTGCCCATGCAAGATTGCTAGTGATCTGTGTCAGTCCTTACTTATAAGCTGGTGGCTTTGGTTCTTTTTCTCATAGGTGTCAGAGCAACTTAAAACCTCACACTGTGCTCACCTTCCCAGTCCTGTCTACCACCAGCCTGCTCTTCTGCCTTCAGACTCCAACTTGGGACTTGGTTCTGATGCCTCACCCAAGTCTAATCACGGGAGTGCTGACCTCAGCACGCTGGTCTTCGTGGGCAGAGTACATGCAGGTCCCCCTGCCCTTATGCTCCTTTCATCTGGAAACCTGAATGCTTCTTTTTGTGACTTTTAAAATGTTTGGTTTTAGAATAGGTTTGAAAAGTAAGAAAAAAGAGTCAGATTTAGAGCAAAGCTCTGTGACAATAGTGTATTTTAATTTGAAAGGCCTTGAGACATATAAACTGCGTCTGGCTCCTTCTTACAGAATAAGACACTAAGATTCGAAGATCATCTAGAGTTTTTTTGTTTTTTTTTTTTTTTTAAACCTAGCACTGTTACAACTGTTCAGTTTCTTCATGGTTAAACTGATGAGTTGTTAAGCTGTATCTGGTTGCTGATGGATCTTTAGTGGTACTAGCCTGTGTACAAGTAAAGGAAATGGCAGTAACTGAACCTGACAGAAAGTAGATGCTTCTGCCCCCAATTATTTTTTTTTTTTTAATTTTTTTTTTTAAAGATTTATTTATTTGTACATACAGAACTGGGGTACAGGCCAGAGGCTCACGGGCGGTGAGAGGCTTCACCAGAGACAGAGTGAGGAGCAGAACAGGCAGATCGACGAAGTACACTGCTGAGGGTAGCAGCGAGCGGGTCAGGAGAGGTCTGCCACGCCATGTGGTCTCCTCCGGGGCAGGCGGGAATCGAACTCATGCGGAAGTGGCTTCAGCTTCTCAGTGCAGCCCTTTAACCCGCTGCGCCACCAGGGAGGGCCATGCCCCCAATTATTTTTTAAGGGATCTACTCATTAAAGACAGACTAAGTGCTGGTTTTACAGAATTTTGCATTTTATGAACATGTAAAATTTCAATTGGTGAATAGAAAGTAGAACTGCTACAGGTGGTTTACTAGATAAGAACTGTTTCCTAAGAGACATTCTTTACATTGTTTTATTTCTTAATTTTAAAAAAGATTGATTTATGCATGCAAGAACTGGGGGACAAGCTAGAGGTTGGAGGGATGAGAGGACTCACCAGCGTCAAGAGTGGGGAACAGAATAGGCAGATTGACTGAAATACATCACGGAGGGGAGCAGCAGGCAGGACAGGAGAGGTCTGCCACATCGTGCTGCAATAGCTGCTGATAGCTTCATAGTGCTGCACTTTAACTTGTTGGGCCACCATGGTAGCCCTCCATTGTTTGTTTTAAAAGGATATTTTAACATTTAAAAAAAAAAAGAAAAAAGAAACAACATAGATCTCAATAAGGAAAGCAGTCTTTTCTCAGACCCCAGACAAGATAGTAGACTCATATTTTCTTGCCAAAATTGCTACTCGGCATTTATGAACCCTTTCCTGATTCACTTTACCTTGAGGTTCCCTTAGTTTCACTCACTGGGTTCTTTCCTGTACCTGTGGGAGTGACCTGGAGTAAGAGCCTCAGGTTGACATGTGCATGTGGAAACTCTGGTGACATTGCCCTTTGTTCTTTCTACTTTACAGGATTACTATAAGATCATTAAACAGCCTATGGATATGGGAACAATAAAGAAGCGCTTGGAAAACAACTATTACTGGAATGCTCAGGAATGTATCCAGGACTTCAACACTATGTTTACAAACTGTTACATCTATAATAAGGTGAGAGGTGGGGGTGGCTATCTGGCTGCCCTGGGGAGTAAAGGTGGAGGAAGTATGTCTGGACTCCCTGAGTAGGGATGTTGGGAGCTGGTGGGATTACAGTGTGAGGCAAAGATGTTGGATGCAGAGGTAAGGGGATCTGGGATTTTGCTTGTGACTAGGCTTGTTGCTTTTGCTGAGAATAGTTGCTGACCTCATTTTTACTTCCAAGGGGTTCTTCTTAGCTTGAAACATGTGCTTCTGATACTTGGGGATTTTGGTTCTTGAGTATGTCTAGTGGAGAAGGTGGGAGAAGTATAGCATTTATTTGGTTGGGTTTTTTTTTTGTTTGTTTTGTTTTTTAAGATTTATTTATGCATATAAGAATTGGTACAGGTCAGAGGTACAGGGATGGTGGTGAAAGGATTCATTAGAGACAGAATGGTGATCTGGACAGACAGATCAAGTGAAATACACTGCTGAGGGGAGCAGCAGGCAAGACAGGAGAGGTCTGCTGTACCGTGTGCATAGCTACCTGGCTGGGGATCAGACTCATGTTGCCGTGGTTGCAGATAGCTTCATAGTGCTTCACTTTTTTTTAGATTTTATTTATGTATGCGTACAGAACTGGGGTGCAAGCCAGAGGTGCAGGGGCAGTGAGAAGATTCACCAGAGACAGAGTGGGGAGCAGAACAGGCAGATCGATGAAGTACACTGCTGAGGGGAGTAGCAAGCGGGTCAGGAGAGGTCCGCCACACTGTGGATCACCTCTGGGGCTGGGGATCAAACTCGCACTGAAGTGGCTGCAGCTAGCTTGCAGTGCTGCACTTTAACCCACTGTACCACCTGGGAGAGGTCCATAGTGCTGCGCTTTTAACCCCATGTGCCACCAGGGATGCCTTCATCTCTTTGAGTGACATAATGGTCAGGAAGGAGCCTACTAAAATATTGTAGAAAGGTATACACCAGCAGAAGTATTAGTAGGGGACAGCATGGGGTCAGGGGAGTGGGGACAGAAGCTTGTTGCATCTGGAACTGTGGACTCAGTCATTGATACCTAGTGGCCATAGAATATACGTCTCCTGATGTTACATGTAGACGTGAAGGTCACTTTAGCTCCATAGCCAAACCTTTGACTCAGTTGTGCCATGAAACCAGATCATTGTTTACAGTTCAGACCACAGATGTGATTAAAATTCACCCCTACTAATAAAACAGCCCTAAGGGAGACCCTATATACTGGTAGAGTTAAAGTTGCCCAGAAGAGATGGGTAGGTAAGTTTCTTGAAGTTTGCTATTTCTCAATCTCGGCTTTTATCTCTCAGTTTAAGCGAAAGGAATACAAAAGAGATTTCTCATCTCAGATGGTCTACTTATAGGAGATCTTGACTACTTCTTTCCTTTGAGTTTATTCTGGGAATAACATGTTATAGGTAAGGCATCAGAATGGGCACCAAAAGGTTGGCGTTTACCAAGTCCCAGAGATATTTCCTAGGAGGTCATTGTTTGAGCCCTTCTAGCATATCTATGGCAAGAAATCTGTGTCATTGAAGTATTCTTGGTGAACTTGAACTGGCAAGGGAGGACCCTGAGAATGGTTTCTCACTGCTTAAAGCATTTGCTTGGTTTCTCAGACAGGCCAGAGCTTAAATGGGGGGTGAGGGGGGTGGGGTGCAGGGAGTCATATGCTTACCCAGTCATCTTCAAGCACACAAGTCTTGATGATATCTCGCAGTGAAACCATTTCCTTCTGGCCTTTGGGTATCAAATTGGGACAGACTCTGATCTTCAGGTAAGCGGTGGGTGTCATAGGATAGACAGCTCTTCTCTATTGAGAAAGGTGAGGAGGGTTTCCTAACCCTCACCACACTTACCTCCTCTTCCAGCCTGGAGATGACATCGTCTTAATGGCAGAAGCTCTGGAGAAGCTCTTCTTGCAAAAAATCAATGAACTGCCCACAGAAGAAACTGAGATCATGATAGTCCAGGCAAAAGGAAGAGGACGTGGGAGGAAAGAAACAGGTATAGTGCAGTTGTTACCTTATAGCTCTGTTTGCCCTGCACTGAATAGCAAGGGCATTGGTTTTATTTCTCCCCCGTCTTTGTCTCTTTCCCTAAGGACAAAGACTAGGAATTATGAAAAGATAGCTGACTACATACTCTCTACCATGATGCTCTTTAGATGCTAAAGTGTGGCTATGTCCAGTGGTGGTAGACCTGCTCTAGAGGAGCACATGTACTCTCCCTCTAGTAGAAATAATTGGGCCTTGCCTTTTTGATGGACTTCAGTTAAAAAGAAAGTATAACTTCTCTCTCTCTCTCTCCTGTGTTTATTGATTTATTACTTATGCATACAAGCACTGGGGTACAGGCCAGAGGGGTGAGAGGATTTACCAGAGACATAGTGGGGAACAGAATGAAATATACTGCTGTGGGGAGCAGTGAGAGGTCTGCTGTGCTATGTGGGTCACTTCCCTGGCTTGGAATCGAACTTGCGCTGCAGTAGCTATGGCTAGCTCCATAACGCTGTGCTTTAACCTGTTGCACCGCCAGGGAGGGCCCAAGGAAGTGTAATTTTTCAAAGCATTTTAACGTGCTTGAATTCTTCACCCTGCCAGTGCCATAGAAAATCTTTCGCTTTTCCATTTTAAAGAAAAGGAATTAACCTGACCACAGACAATTTTAACTAACTTTACCTAATCTTAGAGTCTAAGTGATTGTTATTTTAAATATCTTCATGTGTTTATGTTAGAAAACCTGCTTTTGGACTCCAATTCAGTCTTTTGCAGTCAAAGTCAAGCCCTGCTAGTCTGTCTCTGCACACTCCTCACCCCCTTCTCTTCACCTGACACAGGATCCCAAGGCAGCTGGTGGGGAGTGACCTCCATTCAGTGAAATGTTTCTGTCCAGGATATTACCATGCACAGCTCAAAAGCTTCAGAAGGGTGATGGTTACAGGGTAGCACATGGCTGAATTGTTTGTACTCCTCTGGCTTCCTTCCCTACTCAGACATGGTTGCTTCATGGGAACAAAGTGGACCTGCTAGAGTACCTGTAGTGGTGAGGGATAGCCAATAAAGCTGGTCTTGAAGGGCAGCCTAAGAAAAGCTGGTGCTGTATCTAAGAGGTGTCCATTGAAACCCAGGAGCCTTACCTTCACTCCCAAAGGTTTGGTCTGCACATGGAGCAGATACAGGGAAACGTTCTCTGTTCCATTTCTTAGGGAAAGCCCAAGAGTAGTCCCTGGAGAAAGAGAACTAGGAAACTTACAGAAACTCACCCTTGCTTCTTGGGGTGCCAGAAGGAGAGTGTCATGCCATCCAGTCTCACACCCCACCCCATTCCCATCCCCTCCCCACCCTGTGAAGGCTGTATTTATGGGATATTGCTCTTTTTCATGTAGCCAATGTGCATGGAAGTAACAGTTCAATTTGTGGTCCCAGGTCCTTTCCTTGTTAGGGAAAGTTTACCATGTACATATGAGCTCTGGTCATCATCTACTTTTGGGGTTGGCTGGCCATGCCAGGTGACAACTGTTTGTGGACTCCTCTGCACAGCTGCAGTGGTCTAGTCTTCCTGTGGCTCAGGGAGATCAGGGCTCAACAGGTTCCAAACCTTAGGGAGTGCTTGTCAATGCCTGCCCCCTGCTGGAGACACTCAGAAACCAGTGAGCACTTCTGGAGTTTGGACATCTCTCCCTGAAAACTCCAAGAGCATTTGAGTTCTCCATCAATAGTCTTGGTGCTAACTCTCAGGATGTGTTTCCTGTTCCTTTAGCCCAGGCCTGTAGTGCTTATGAAAGCACTTTTTTCAGGACTTGAGCAAAGACTCCCCAGGAACTGTGGAATACAGTGTGTCACTCAAAGTCCCTTGGGCAGGTGGCCTTATTTGGTCAAGGTCTCTCTGTTCTGTCTTAGTCACATGGTCACTGTGGCATTACACCATACCCACACAGATGTGTGTTAGCCATGTGTGGCAGTATCCCCATAAGGTTAGCCACTGTGTATCAGACATTGCTTTTAACCAACTGTTCTTTTTATGATTGGTAGGGACGGCAAAACCTGGTGTCTCTACGGTACCAAACACAACGCAAGCATCAACTCCTCCGCAGACCCAGACCCCTCAGCAGAACCCTCTGCCTGTGCAGGCCACATCTCACCCATTTCCTGCTGTCACCCCAGACCTCATCGTGCAGACCCCTGTCATGACAGTGGTACCCCCCCAGCCACTGCAGACACCCCCGCTGGTGACCCCCCAGCCACCACCCCCACCTGCTCCAGCCCCTCAGCCCGTACAGAGCCACCCGCCCATCATTGCGGCCACCCCACAGCCTGTGAAGGTGAGCATCCCGTGTGTGCTAACTGTTCCTGTTGCCTCTGCCAACTGCTCCTCTTCTGTGCCATGACAGTGAGGCTCACGGGGGAGTCATTTGGCTCCATTGATGCTTTGTTCAGGACCTGTTCTGGGACTCGGGGTACTGTTAGTGTTTCTGAGCAGGTCATTGTTGACTCAGATCCTATGTTCTAGTTGCACCTTCGAAATGTTGCTGCCTCTTCCATTTCTCACTCTGTACTTGTGTGCAGATGTGCTCTGATAGATGTGCCTCCCACTTGATGGCCAGAGCAGCAGGCCTGACTCAGAGCTGTCTAGCTTTGTATGGATAGCTGTACTTCAGATGCTTTCTTTGGCCTCTGATGCAGATCTGCACTCAGTTATGTACTGTCTCTGGCCACTGTTGGGGTCCCAGCCATTTCAGCAGAGTGGTGGGACAGGCTGTCCCTATTATTAGTCCTTCACCTGTGGAATTGTGGGTCCTATTCCCTGTGAGTGTTGGGATCCTAGAAAGGACCTCACTGCAGGAGTGCCCCTGAGGGACAAATGTGCAGGCACTACCTCTGACCGTGCCTATCACGCCTGTGCTCTCGGCAGACAAAGAAAGGGGTTAAGAGGAAAGCGGATACCACCACCCCTACTACCATCGACCCCATTCATGAGCCGCCCTCATTGCCCCCGGAGCCCAAGGCCACCAAGCTAGGCCCCCGGCGGGAGAGCAGCCGGCCTGTGAAACCCCCGAAGAAGGACGTGCCCGATTCACAGCAGCACCCAGCGCCAGATAAGACCAGCAAGGTCTCAGAACAGCTCAAGTGCTGCAGTGGTATCCTCAAGGAAATGTTTGCCAAGAAGCACGCTGCCTACGCCTGGCCATTCTACAAGCCCGTGGATGTGGAGGCACTGGGCCTGCACGACTACTGTGACATCATCAAGCACCCCATGGACATGAGCACAATCAAGGTAAGCAGTTGCACCCCTGAGCTGAGGATCAAGGAAATGCACCCCTCAAGGGAGGGGCTCTGGGGTCAAGGAAGGTTAGGACCTATCCAATGGAATGTCCATGGAAGCTGATGAATTTGGGGTCCCTAAAACTGTCCCTGTCATAAGCTCCAAGACAACCAGCACCCTCTGCTGGAGATTGTATGGACATTCAGTGAGATAGCATGCTGGCAGTTTTGGTCAGATGGCAATGCTGCCCTCTTCTGAGGATGCACTTTGTGTGGCCATGGTTCTTTGTGCCCATGGGCACCTTACATGAGGCAGAGCCTCCAGGAGAGAGTATGGTCTTGTGACTTTGTCAGGCTTTGTGATGGAAAAGAATCTTGATAAAGAAGACACATGCCAGAAAGGACTTTGTTTTGTTTATTTAAAGTGTTTTTGCATTTTTGATCTCCTGGGAATGGTGAGAGCCTGCCCCAAATGGGACAGAGCAGGAGACTAAGCTGGTTTCTTTTGATCTTTTTCCTGTCCTGTGTCAAGACACACATGTACCAGGTTGGTATTGGTAGTATCCAGCCATTTCCCTATGGTTCTGCCTCTGTTCTGCCCTCTTGGATTCTGTGTTCATGTTCACCTTCAAGAGTAACCCTGGTGGGTAGTCCTAGCATTGAGACTTGCTGTAGTGTCTACTTGTCCACCTGACAGAAACAGGGTGAAGGCTCCTATCCCACTAGGATCTGGGTTAAACTCCTATAGGCTGTCCTCCCTACTGCCACTTCACTTGTAAGCACAGGCACACACAGCTAATCAGGACCTTTGTTGTCTTCCCAGTCTAAACTAGAATCCCGTGAGTATCGTGATGCTCAGGAATTTGGTGCTGATGTTCGATTGATGTTTTCCAACTGCTACAAGTACAACCCTCCTGACCATGAGGTGGTGGCCATGGCCCGAAAACTGCAGGTGAGACTGTGGAGAGGATGTGATGCCTGCTCTGTGAAGAGTAGATGTGGTTCTGGGTGGGCCAGACCTCTGTAAACCCTGGCAGATTTTATTTCTGTCTCCTACTTTAGTATGATACCATAGTACTTTGAAAGAGTGGACTCATCACGATAACATGACATTTTCATTGGAAATGTTTAATTATAATTAATACAGGGTGGTTGGTTTTGGTCCTAGGTATTTTGTTTTGAGGTGTCCCACTGAGACCCTTTTCCCCTTTATCCACATTTGGTTGTCCTTGGCCAGAAAAGCATGCGTGCTATACATGACCCAATCTCTCTCTCTCTCTCTCTCTCTTTTTTTTTCTTTCAAATATTGGCACTTTTTTTAAAAGATTTTATTTATTTGCTCATACAGAACTGGGGGCCAGAGGCGCAGGGGCGGTTTCAGAGTGGGGTGCAGAACAGGCAGATCGACGAAGTACACTGCTGAGGGGAGCAGCGGGCGGGTCAGGAGAGGTCTGCCCTGCCATGTGGTCACCT